GGTTAACCCAGCCCAGATTGCAGGATTGTAAGCAAATATATGACTATTGTTTAAGCCACTAAATTTTGGGTCCATTGTTATGTAGTAATAGATTATGGAAACATGGAGTATTTGGGATACAGTGAGTCTTCCAATTAAGTATGTGTTTAATTAAATTTAACTGTAGGAGCCTGGATGGGTAAAATTAGTCTAGATGATCCTCATGGTCCTTTTTAGCACTGAGATTCTATGATCTCAAGATTATTATGCCATCATGGATTATGGATTTTGCCATTGCTTTCTGTATTTCTAGTGATAAATGAGCACTGAATCTAGATGCAGTATAGTTAAGTCCTTGGGCATGTTAGTCCATTTGGGCTGCTATAACAAAATACAATAGAATGAGTGGCTTATAAATAACAGAAATTTATTTCTCACAGTTTTGGAGGCTGGGAAGTCCAAGATCAAAGTGCTGGCAGGTTAGGTGTCTGGTGGGAACCCACTATCTAGCTCATAGATGGCTGTTTCCTTGCTGTGTTCTCATATAGTGGGAGGAGGGATCTCTCTGAGGCCTCTTTTATAAGGCCAGTAATCCCATTAATAATTATAAGGGTGACCTAATTACCCCCCAAAGGCACCATCTCCTAATACCATTATCTTGGGGATTAGGATTTCAACATATGAATTTGGGACAACACATTTAGACCATAGCATTCCATCTCTGGCTCCCCAAACTTCATGACCTTCTCACATAGCAGCAACTCAAAAGGTCTAAGTGCAAAGTCTCATCTAAATATCATCTAAATAAGATATGGGTAAGATCAAGTTACAATCCATTGTGCTTTGTGATGTTTAATGGATCTAGAGACAGCTACCTAGGGCCACCTATTTTGACCAATATTTTTTTCCAAACCTACTTTTCTACAGTTCTATTGATTTCACTTAGTTTTTTAATATGTATTAATATAAATCCTACCCCTATAATCCATTTACTGTAGAACATAGCCACTTTGAGGTCTTTTTTTCCCAGTGAAAGTGAAAAAGTCGCTCAGTCGTGTCCAGCTCTTTGTGACCCCATGGACTATACAGTCTATGGAATTCTCCAGGCCAGAATACTGGTGTGGGTAGCCTTTCCCATCTCCGTGGGATCTTCCCAACCCAGGGATCAAACCCAAGTCTCCCGCATTGCAGACAGATTCTTCACCACCTGAGCCACCAGAGAAACCCATGAATACTGGAGTGGGTAGCCTATCCCTTCTCTAGCCAATCTCCCCAACCCAGGAATTGAATCGGGGTCTCCTGCATTGCAGGCAGATTCTTTACCAACTGAGCCATCAGGGATTTGTGCGAAAATAATTGTACTTTCAGATCCGGCCTATACTAGTTTTTTTGGCTTTAGAATTTTTCTCCAATTTCCCATGAGAGATATAAAATCTGCAATGATGACCGTGCAATGAAAAGTGAGCCAACCAGTCCAAACCATGGCATTTTGTAAAGTTTGAAATGTCAGAATTTCAGGTGACCTGCATTTTGGAAGAAGACTCAGCCTTTGAATTGTTGCTCACTTTATTCTTTCTTTAATGCTGAACTATTTACAATCAGTTGACCATTATGTATTCTTATTTTGGGTGGGGATGGATGCTATGGGTTTATAGAGAATGTTCTTTAAAGACAGACTGTAGTCCAAACATCAGGTTGGTCTATCTGAGGACATGCATGAAAGTCAATTTTTAGCCATGTTGCAGTTACAACAGAAAGGACCAAAGTCTAAACTCTACCAGAGTGTCCGAAGCCATTGCTTCTGTGTTGAAAGACCTTCCTCTGACACAAGTGTGGGCCTGAAAGGGGGCTGGAATGCAGCCATTCACAGAAACTGGGCTCTGCATGCACTTCCTAGTAACTCCTGTTTTAAACCTGAAATGTTTTCTTGGTTTTGAAACATTTCTGTGCCTGTTCCTGCCACAGTTCAGTGCTCCTGACAGTTCATTCCTGGTCTGACCCAGCTTCTGGTTGAACCCTTGGCCGTGGCAATCACCCTTAGGCTCCAACTGTGGGTGTCCGAGTGCCCAGATTCTGTACGTAACCCACCGTCACCACTCTCGGGCACCCGTCTGGCTCTGCCTTCCTAGCAGTCATTGGGCCCCGCCTTAAGTCTCTTTCTTGTCCATCAGACGCATGGCCACATGCCATCACCACAGGAAGAGCTTCTTTGACACCCAAGATAGGTGCAGGTCCTCCTGATGTTATGCCCTCTGGGTTTCTGGTATTCTGGGTTTCAAGGTACTTATCACAATTTATTTTTGTTGTCTATCATGCTTGTTTTGTGTCTTCAGAACTTGCGATGATGGTTGGCACATAGTAGGAGTTCAGTAAATGTGCTGAGTAAACAGGAACAAATGAAGATTGTGACTTGGGCTCCCACTTCTTTTAAGGCTGTCTCTTGATTGTATATGACCTTGGGCTAGTTACAAAACTTATGTCTCACCTTATACATGTTTCAAGTAGGGAGGGATATACTCTCTTACTTACCCCACAGTTTGGGGTGCTGTGGCAGATGCTTAGTAAATGTCTGCAGAATGAGTAAATGCACCTGCTAGCTCTGTGAAAAAGAGACACACTTTAACAAGTATTTCTTTCATCCAACAGGTGAGAGAAGTTGATTATTTAAGCAAGAGGAATCTTGTTTACTGAGTGGGAAATAAAATTCAGTATTCCATATGCCTTTGCCCAGGAGATTATATTTCTCTTCAGGTTGTACCTTAATACTAGACTTTTTTAATGGAGGAGGGGACATTTTTTTTAATGAATTTGGACCAAACTAGTGACTTGATTGACTTTCTCCATTCCTAAGGAGTTTGTGTCTGTCACAGATTTTAACTAAATTTGGCCCACTGACAGTACAGATTCTAGGTTGCCTGCATCTTAAAAAATTGTATGGAAGAAGTAATGGTGAAGGTAATCTGAAGACCACGGGGAGCTGTATAGAGCTAACATTCACATCAGGTGGTCCAGTTTATGGGCCTTCTGAACCTGTCAAGATAAGATCCTGACCTTGGAGTGATGGCAAAACTGCTTTCAGCTTAACAGTTCTTTTTACTGCAGACCTTCACAGCCTGGCCTAACTTAACCTATTTTCTCCTGTACAGCGGAGATGGTAGAGTATCAGTCCGATTCTCTGTCCGTGGAATTCTCCAGGCAAGAATACTGGAGTGGATTGCCATTTCCTACCTCAAGGGATCTTCCCAAACCAGGGATTAGAACCTGAGTCTCCTTCATTGCAGGCAGATTCTTTCACATCTGAACCACCAGGAAAGCCACAGTGGAGATAACCTACATATAAAGTACAGATGCTGTGCAGTTTTTCTTTTTATTGCTCCTTTCTTTCCCACCATGTCTACCTACTTCTGGAATTTCTTCCACCTGACATTTTCTTCGGCATACAGAATTCAGAGAAGGGAGAAGATGCAGGAAGGGTCCGGATATAACTAGAGTTATGTATTTTATTTGAGCCTCATTTCTTTGGAGGAAGGGGAACAGAGATGAGGGGAATAAGTTAGAGGTGGTCTGAAAAAAATCACAAGGGTGAGGGGTGTGAAGAAGGAAGTCCTTCAATGGAACATCTGGTGAAGGTAAGATGAAGTGAGCCCATGTAAATCCATGGCTGATTCATGTCAATGTATGGCAAAAAACACTACAATATTGTAATTAGCCTCCGACTAATAAAAATAAATGAAAAAAAAGAGATTATTCTTCACAAAACTTTGACTACACTTTGGAATAGTTGTACTTCGAACAAATTTTGTTGACTCTTACAAGAAAAGCACATAATCTGCATTTCATGCCATGTAAATACAGATTTAATTAACACTTGCAAAGTCTGAAGGTGCAAAACCTTAAATGTTAATTAAACCTCTATTTACATAGCAAGCAGTATGTAGCCCTCCATTTTCTTGTAAAATACAAGGAAGTTTATTTTAAACTCCATTAATCTGCTACACAGTGGGATAATAGGATGCTTTGGTTAACTTCCAACAGATAGTCTTCTATTATGGAGGACAACAAAAATGACAGTTTATGAAGTCTTCCACTTCATTCCTGCAGTAAATACGAGAATACTCATTTTAACAGCATTTTTTTCTCAGTAATATTTAATTTTCATTTAAAGAACCATCCTTATATTACCCTCATCATCAATGAAAGGATGTATTTCTATAAAGGCTAACCATCTGTATCTCAAATATTCTATCAGAACTGCAGATATATCTCACATAGTTGAACAGAAGTGTAAAAAACATTGTGCATTGTCATATAGAGTGAAAGAAAAACAACAAATATTGTATATCTCTTATATGTGGAATCTAGAAAAATGGTACAGATGCATTTATTGGCGAAGTGTAAATAGAGTCGCAAATGTAGACAACAAACATGGTTACTGATGGCGGGGGGGAGGAGGAGTGGGACAAATTGGGAGATGGGATTGACATACATATACCACTATAAAACAGATATATAAAACAGTATAAAACAGATAACTAATGAGAACCTGCTGTTTAGCACATGGAACTCAACTCAAGGGTCTGTGGTGAACCAAACGAGAAGAAAATCTAAAAAAAGGTCTTACATGTAGGATACATGTATATGTATAACCAGTTCACTTCACTGTACAGCAGAAACTAACACACCATTGTAAAGCAACTATACTCTAATAAAATTAAAAAACAAAATAAAATAACACATTGTGTAAAAACCACAATGGATTCAAATGTTTTAAATAAAGTTTTAATTTTTAAAACTGAAAAAAAAAAAAGATGAAGTGAGCCTGGATAAGGAATTCAGAGATAAGTCTTGGTTGGTTAGCATTGTGACCTCGGAGTGCGATCCTAGTGCTGAGCAAGGAAGGAGGCCAGCAGGTGGAGGAGACGCCAAGCGAGTACTGCTAGTCTGTAACTAGCCCGCATCTCCAGACCAAGTGGCCCTGTTTGGGTGGGGAGGATTTGCCAAGGAAATGTGATGCCTTACTCCTAGCTCATCTCCAAGGTATCCTCACTGGTGCCAGCCTTGGATGTATATGGTTTCACATTTTGATGCCTCCTCTCTACTGACTGTGTCCTAGCCTGAGTCTGAGTTGGGGATCTGGGAATTATAGCCTTAAACAGAGACCAGTACTTCTGCCTACTCGGCCTGGGACTGGCCTCTGGCTCAGGCTCGAGCTCTGTCTCTTGATCCAGCTCAGATTCAGGCTCCAGCTCTGACTCAGGCTCCACCTCCTGATCCAGGTCTAGGTCCAGATTCAGCCCAGGGTCTTTAGACATCTGTATTGTGGAATACAGATCCAAGTCTGATTCCTCCTCCATCTCTGAGTCTGGGAGTAAGGAGGAGGCTGGAATTTTACTTCTGGGGGCTTCTGTAAGACTTCTACTTGCTTTATGTCTTGATTCTTCTTTCTGAAATACACACAGTTGGATGGGTTAAAATTTCCCAAGTGTATTTAATTTTTGAACAGTCAAGGAACTTCAGAATATAGTAGGACTTAATGGTACCAGAAAGCATGGGTTCCTGGCAAAGTAGAAAATATTTCTGGCCTAAATTTGCTTTTCATCTTCTTAGCACCTTCTAGTTTCCCAGTTACTTACTATGCTTCGGGCTCCATTAATCCATAACTTCCAACTCCTCTAGTTTTTCTAAGCCAGCCTAGATTTCATGATCATCCATTTAAACCACAGTGGTCTTGTCAGCATTCCCGAATGTCTTGTCTTCTTGATTTTACTTGTCTTTCCAACCCCCTCATGTATAATATGTCCCCTACATACAAACCTTCAAGTTGCGAACTTTCAAAGATGTGAACGTGCATCTGGTTCCAGCAAGGAACCAGAACCTGTGCCATCAATGTCAGGTGTGAGTGACATTGCAGCTTGCCCTCCATCTCCTATTGCTGACCATCCTTCAGCTCTACCATCTCCCACCTCTTCCTGCACCCCCACCCAACTCTTCTTACCTGTTCACTCGATGTCAGCCCCTGGAGCACTACTGTACTTTTCAAGGTACTGTATTGTAAGACTGAAAATGTTTATTTTTTGCATTTGTTTTTATGTGTTATTTGTGTGAAAAGTATTATAAACCTATTGCAGTACAGTACTATACAGCCAATTGTGTTACTTGGGTACCTAGGCTAGCTGTGTTGGACTTACGAACGCACTCTTGAAGCAGAGCTCATTTGTATGTAGGGGACTTAGTATAATCCACGGCACGGTGTGTAAGGCCCTTCGTGACCTGGACCCTTGCTGTCTTCTTTAGCTTTGTCTCTGTCCATAATCCCTACCTTTTGCTCTAGTCATAAAGTTAGACTGCCAGATCTTTACATCTGCTAGCTTGTCAGTTTTATTATCCATCCCAAGGATAGGGAGATATTTAAAATAGGTATTAATCGGTATGGCACTGGCAGTAACCAAGCTTGCCGTGAAAGGATTCTCGAGGCCTCTTCTGAGTGGGGTAACCCTTCTCCGGCTGGGAAAGGATCCTGAATGGCATGCAGATGTCATGGCAGTCTGAGAACCTGGGGACCCAGGTTGGCTGCTCTTTACCGACTGGTAAGGGAACCTTTCAGCATCTCACATTCTGGGACAGCCACACTCAAAAACCTTCCCTGCGCATTGCTCATCTCTCTCTGATTAGATGTCCCCCCCCCGCTCCCCCCAACCCCCGTTGCCTCACATCATCCAACCTTGTCTGTCTCTGAGAAGGTTTCCTGTATCACGGTCTCTGATTCGTCCACAGTTAACTCGGAGGACTCTGCCAACTTCCTTGACAAAGCAAATAGCACAGCATCGTGGAGGGTGAGGAACAGCTGGGCCTTAGTGATGCCAGTGTCAAAGAAATCATTCTTCTCAAGTGACCTGACCACAAAAGCTACAAACCAAACCAGGAACATACACAGGGTCAGACACCTGGGGAGGAGAGGGTCCAGGATTCAAAACGCAGCCCTCGTCAGAGGAGGAAGGATACTCACAGTGACACCCTGCAATGAGCACCAAGATGTTGGCGTTTTGGAAAGCACTGAACATCTGTGGGGAGAGAGTAAACCAGTGATAGAGATCTTCACACTCGGTAGAGGAAAGGGCCTTTTAATTAGCTGGATTTTCAAATCTCTTTGGTCATTCACTTGTCTGGGCTATATGTACCTCATACCCATTCAGCTCTGTAAACATCTGATGAGCAAACTGCTATGGGCCAGGAAATGGCCAAAGTGCCAGGAATACAGAAGAGAATCAGATGGTCACGTGTCGGGTGGGGAGTGAGAGGGAGGGTTGTCCGTGATCTGAAGTGGGGAAACAGTTCACATAAAGAGACAGTGTTCAAGTGAAGATGGTGCTAGGCTAGACGTGGGCACAGGCATGACAGGGACCACTGGACAGTCCTCACAAACAACCACAACTTGGTGTCATTGCTTAGTGTTTGCATGTGACTCCCTTCTCTCTGGAGCTCACTGGACAGAGGTGGAAAGTTGTGGCCCAGAGATGGTCAAGTGATACAGCTGGGAACGCTATTCAGGGACCCTAAGGGTCATATTCAGAACTGCTCTGCAAACCTGTATTTGAATTTAGTAAAACATCAGATATTTAACTTCAGATTAATAAACATCAAATACTGACCTCAAGTATACATTTCAGCCCACGCACACACACAAACACACATATACATACACACATACATATGCTCTGGGACTATAAATCTTAATGTTCAACTCAAAACAAGTCACCACTAACCTTAATGCTCTAACGCTCAACAGGTTCTAACCCTGGGCACTTAGTTGAAGTGTCAAAAGAAACAAAATAGACAGACTCTACTTCTTTCACTACTGGGAAGAAATAAGAAAGTCATTCTTGATCAAATGGTAAATCACAAAGTGATTTGGTAAAAAGCCACCGTAGACATACTCTAAATGACAAGCAGTGGGAGACTCAAATTTCATGAATGTAGCTGATGATTTCCCTGGTGATCCAGTGATTAAGAATGTGCCTTGCAATGCAGGGGACATGGGTTTGATCCCTGGTTCAGAAAGATCCTGCGTGCTGTGGGGCAACTAAGCCCATGTGCCACAACTACTGAGCCCCAGCTCCGGAGCCTGTGAGCCGCAACTACTGCAACCCATGTGCCTAGAGCCCATGCTCTGCAATGAGAAAAGCCACTGCAATGGTTTTTAAGTTCCAGCACTGAAAGTTCTTTGCACTTGTTGAGGCCCTCGCACCTCAATAAAGAGCAGCCCCTGCTCACCACAACTGAAGAAAGCCTAAGCTCAGCAATGAAGACTCAGTGCAGCCAAAAATAAATAGATATATAAATTTTTTTTTTTAAAAAAAGAAGCTTAAATGGAGTAATTATCTCTAATAAGACCAACCACTGGAATTTTTCTTAGTGAGTGTAAGTTATCAATTATGAAGTAAACAAAGCAATGATTTCCTCCAACAAAGCGGTATAGAGCAAAACAAACAGCACAATGTCAGGGAGGACAAAGAACTGCGGGGCCTTGGTGATGTGATCAAAGAAATCACTCCTCTCCAATGCCCTGACCGAAGAAGCTACAAAACAAACTGGAAACAAACGCGGAGTCAGACCCCTGGGGAGTAACTTGTGATTTTTAAAGTGCGAGAGTGTGCTGTGAGCCTCTGACAGCTGCACAGTTAAGGTGCCAGACATGACCTGGGGCAGAGAGTCATCAGCGTAGGCCAGGTGTGGGAGGGTCATGCCAAGGACCAGAACACACAGTGCCTCCACAAAAGTGAAAGATGAGAGAGAGGGAGGAGACGGCACAGCTACAGAACAGGGAGAAGAGTGATACAGAGTCAGAGGCTTTAAGTTCCAGTGCTGGACAGGTCTCTTCCTGGCTGTGAGCCCAGGACTCTTAGGGGGAAATGTGGCTTGTCTCCCAGGGCTGTTGTGAGAGCTAAATAGAAGAGTGTATATAAATGTGCTCAGCTCAGTCTGGCATGTAAGAGACATTCAATAATGGAAGGTCAATGAAATCTAAAGTTGCAACTACAGTGTAAGACTGGGAGAAGAGAACACAGCCCAGTACTACAACCTAAAATGGGGAAGTCCCAAAGATAAGATATAATCAAGTATATCTGAGTCTACAAATGGAGTTGCGGGGGGTGGGGGGGTTTGAGGGGAGAGGGTCTCATGGATGGGAAAACCCTTAATGTAAATCTCTTCTCAGCCTCTCATTTCATAGATGAGGAAACCAAGACCCAAAACAATTTAGTAAGTTACCTTGGGTCCAATGGACAGGGGGTGGCAGTCAAGCCAGGACAGACCACACATCCAGAGACCACTTTCTGCTATGACAAGCTTCCTACTGCCTTAGACCAAAGAGGAGCTGGATTCACTTAAAACAGAATCATATTTTCTTGGGAATAAGAGATAGGATAAAATATTTATAAATATTTTGTTACATAGAATTTGAGCATCAAAGAAGGAAAGTCAGCTGAAGGAGCAGCTCTCAAAAAAAAAAAAAAAAGTGGGTGCAGTCAGAGCTAGGAAGCGAGTGGGTTCAGGATATGTGAAACTGAGCCAGCAGAAGCAATAGCGAGAGAGAATGAAAAGAGAGAAGCTGCCTGAGAAAAAGATACTTATGTGATTTTAAATTGGAATATGATTGCTTTACGATGTTGCATTAGTTTCTGCTGTATAATGAAGTGAATCAGCTATATGTATAGTACATCCCCCCTCTCCTGAACCTCCCTTCTACTCTCCCTGCATCCCACCCCTCTGGGCCCATCACAGAGCGCCGAGCTGAGCCCTGTGCTTTATCGATAGGTTCCCGTTAGCAGCTTCCCACAAGCACTGTTTTGTGCTTGCTGTGTGCTGTGCTTAGTTGTTTAGTGGTGTCCAACTCTTTGTGACCCCACGGACTGTAGCCCACCAGGCTCCCCCATCCATGGAGATTCTCCAGGCAAGAACACTAGAGTGGGTTGCCATGCGCTCCTCCAGGGGATCTTCCCAACCCAGGGATCAAACCCAGGTCTCCTGCATTGCAGGCGGATTCTTTACCATCTGAGCCACCGGGAAAGCCCATTTTGTGCTTATGAGACATTAAACAATAAAAACAGTATGATTGGTTGCGCACCTGAACTGTCCATATTTGTACAAGAAGGAGAGAAATGAAAACTGTCTGAGAAACTAGAAGGCGGGAGAGAAATCAGGACTCAGGGAACACTGCTTTTGAAGGAAAAATCTTTCCTGCCTTTTTCACCCAGAGAGGCAATGAAGAGGGAACTGGGGAAGATCCTTATGGGTCTGGACTGGGGTACTGGACTGGGCAACCTCACACTTGATGTGTCACTTCATCACAACTTCTTCCAACCTCCTGAGTGCCTTTTAGAGCAGCTTAATAGTAGAGAATTCTGTGTGAACATTTTTCTGTAGCCTATGAACCTATTCCTTGAAATTTTTTGTAGCTTAACTCCCAGGATGTGAGTTGCTGGGCATGACACAGATCATTGTTTCAATGGTGTTAAGAATTTTCTGATTTTTAGTCCTTGAGGAACAACATGCCATGCTTAGGGAACCAACCCTTGTTTAGTAAATCAGAGTTGCTTCATTTTCTTTTTATGCTGGTTGACCTTAAACTGTCTTTGGTATGCAAGTTTCTAGTGGCCTAGGAGTCACAGAGCAGCTGATCAATGACTAACAGGATTCAGTCAGGGATCAGAGCTCTTGTGAACACCTCCTCAGTACTTACCTGTCTTAATACGACCAAAGCCTGTGCGTCCACAAGATGTACCATGGAGAAGTCCAAGATGATGGTATGGACACTGGGTAGAATAGTTGAACTCGAGTAAGGCAGTTTTGTATCTCTGACCTGAGTATCAGAAGCCTCAGGGAGTGTGATTGTCATGCTCCTGGAAGGGTCATCAGAAAGCCAAACTTTCTCCACCTCCTCATAGTTTGGGTTTCTCTGAGATGTGGACGATGTTATGTACGGTACTTGGTCTTCAGACATAGTTTGGGCTGTGTCCATGCTCTCGAAACGTGAGCAGCGGATCAGGTTAATGAAGGAGGAGTCTCGGCCCCGTTGAACTTCATATCGTTCTGTGTAAATAACCTGGGACAACAGAGTTAGGGGAGGACTATGATAAGACTCCAATAAGGCTGGAAGTATTTGCAACTATGCTGTTTCTGTCTACTAATTCACTTCCCTTGCTCTTGGAAAACTTCACAGACCACGCACTGTACCTTTCTCCTTAGATATTTCATTGTCACTTCTAGCTTGTGACTAAAGCCATATTGATCTTTTTTTTAATTGGAGGATAACTGCTTTACAATATTATATTGGCTTCTGCCATACAACGTGAATCAGCCACAAGTATCTCCATCCCCTCCCTCTTGAATCTCTCCCCACCACCCCCCCAGGTGGTCACAGAGCACAGTGTTGAGCTCCCTGTGCTATAGAGCAGCTTTCCACTAGCCATCTGTTTATGCATGGGCTTTCCTGGTGGCTCCGTGGTAAAGAATCTGCCTGCCAAGCAGGAGACGCAAGTTCGATCCCTGGCTTGGGAAGATCCCCTGAAGAAGGGAACGGCTACCCACTCCGGTATGCTTGCCTGGGAAATCCCATGGACAGAGGAGCCTGATGGGCTACAGTCTGTGGGGTCATAAGATTCAGACACAACTTAGCTACTAAACAACAACAATGTATGTAAAGCCACATTCATCTTCCCTGACCCTCACCACTCACAGCATCCCCCTCCCCGCTACCAACTTCCCCCACATGCATCAGTGACATTATCATCGTCCTAGTGAGCCAGACTCAAAATCATCTTTGATTTATTCTTTTCCCTCATCCCTGGGTTCTAATTAGTCTCCAGCACCTACTATAACTTTGAAGTATTGGATTATAGCTGCTTATGGAAAAGTTGAACAAACTTTTTGGCCAAGCCAGTATTTCTTCTGTCAGTCCCTTTTCTCAACCCTCCTTCTTTCTCAACAGTGAAACTGTTGTCTGTCAAACTTCCTCAAGAAGACAGAAGTTCCTAGAGCATGGCTGTATTTACCTTCCACTCCTCTTACCCTCCTAATGGGCCTGGGGTGCTTGGCATTGTTTAAGGACAGAACCAAGCCTCAGGAATACAATGGCAAGAAAGATGTGAATGTTGATTCTGCAGTCATGGCAGCCAGATTCTACCTGGGGAGAGGGCACATGTCCATTTAAAGGATGAGTAAAAACCTATAAAGGAAATCTTAAAGGAAATCAACCCTGAATACTCTTTGGAAGGATTGATGCTGAAGCTGAGGCTCCAATACTTTGGCCCACCTGATACAAACAGCTGACTCATTGAAAAAAAAAACCCTGATGCTTAGAAAGATTGAAGGCAGAAGGAAAAGTGGGCAACAGAAGATGGGATGGTTGGATGGCATCACTAATGCAATGGACATGAACTTGGGCAAACTCTGGGAGATGGTGAGGAACATGGAAGCCTGGCGTGCTGCGGTTCCTGGGGTCTCGAAGAGCTGGACACAACTTGGCGACTGAGCAAAAACAGCAACCTATATGGACAAGAACTGGAAGGCATGTGGGAAAATGGAGAATCTGTTTGCTACAGAAGTATACTTTGGGATGATGTTTCTTCAAGAAAAATCTGTTCTAATAAAGTTGCTTGTGAAATAAACTTTAAAAATAGGGGAAAATGTAAAGATAACTATACATGATAGTATATATTGTATTGCTAAAAATGGAGTGGACAAGTGATAATATTATAGTTCAAAGAAGACAGATGTTACCCAAGTCTTGACAGTCACTGAGGCCAGGCCTTTGTGGGACAGCTGACAGTGGGGTTCAGTGGTGGGGAGATTCAAGGTTCTCCAGGCAGAATAAACCTCTGAGGGACTTCCTGGGTGGTCCAGTGGCTAAGACTCCACTCTCCCAATTCAGGGGCCGTGGGTTCTATCCTTGGTTAGGGAACTAGATCCCACATGCTGCAACTAAGAGTTCGCGTGCTGCAATGAAGGCCCAGTGCAGCCAAATAAATACATAAAAATAAATACTAAAAAAATAAACCTCCGAGAGCCTCCACACTTCTCTCCATCTGCTCTACACTCTTTCAGGAGCTTTCACAATCCACTCCCTCTGGGTCTGCCTGAACTTACTGCCCAGGCCAAGCCTCTTACTCTGACGTGCTTGTGACCAGTCATGTCTGACTCTTTGCGATCCTTTGGACTGTAGCCTGCCAGGTGGCTTTGTCCATGGGACTTTTCCAGCCAAAAAAAAACAAACACTGGAGTGTTCGGGCATCTTCCCAACCCAGGGATCAAACCCATGTCTCCTGCATTTCAGGAGGATTCTTTACTGCTGAGCCTCTGGGGAAGCCCTTACTCTGACAACCCCACGCTCACTTTTACCTCTGTCTCGCTGCCCAAGCCTATTCATGGACTGGGAGTCCTCTTTTTTCCTACCGGACGTAAATCCAATTTTCTCTCTCCTGCCCGTCTTAAGTCCATTACTACCGTGATGTTTCCCTGTCTTTTTGAGTTCATGCCCATCTTTCTTTACCTGAAGTCAGAGTTGTTACAGATACACAATTTAGAACATAGCAATATGCTGCATGGTATGCTTCACCATACTATTTTCATCACCACTACTTTTTGTGCTATCAAGAAAGAAATAAGGGATTTTCCTGGTGGTCCAGTGGCCAAGACTCCGGGTTCCCAATGCAAGGACCCTGAGTTCAATCCCTGGTCAGGGAGCTAGATCCCACATCCTGCAACTCAAAGTTTGCATCCTGCAACTAAGACCCAGCACAGCTAAATAAATTTTTTTAAAAATTAAAAAAAAAAGAAATAAAACACTGCAAATTAAACTATAATATTGCCATTGATTATATAATGTATCTAAATTTCAGAGATGGGAAATAATGTATATTTTTGGATGGATAAAATACAATAATAACCTTAAATGTCACATTAATAGAGTGTTGTCTCTCCAGTTTGTTTGTTTCTTTTTTTGGCCATACAGCACAGCTTGTGGAATCTTAGATCCCTGATCAGGGATTGAACCTGGGCCCACAGCAGTGAAAGCACAGAGTCCTAACCACTGGACTGCCAGGGAATGCCCTCAGTTGACTAAAAATTCCATGAATTGCTTCAAAATAATCCTGTGATTTTGATGGGTTATAGGTGGGTAGGGGTATTGATGAAATGATTGAATATGAGGTGATAAATCTTAAAGTGGTTGGTGGGTACATAGAGGCTCATTATACTTGTTTCTACTTTCGTATATGTTCAGATTTTTCCATGAAAAACTTTTAAAATAAAGAACAACCCAAATGAACCTTGAGGACATTATGCTAAATAAAATAAGCCAGTTGCAAAAAGACAAATACTGTATGATTCCACTTATATGAGTTATCTGGAATAGTCAAATTCATAGAAGCAGAAAGTCTAATGGTGGTTGCCACCACTTATATGAGGTATCTGGAATAGTCAAATTCATAGAAGCAGAAAGTCTAATGGTAGTTGCCAGGGGCTGGAAAGAAGAGGAAATGCCAAGTTGCAGAATGGGTCAGAGTTCCAGTTTTTCAAGATGAAAAAGTTCTGGAGATATATGGTGGTAATGATTGCACAACAATGTGAATGTATTTAACACTACTGAACTGTACACTGAAAAATGGTTCAGATGGTAGATTTTATGTTATCTGCTTTATACCACAATTAAAAAGAAAGACCTAGAGGCAGAGGCCCCTAAGCATTTGGTTTTCTTTTTCATAGTATCATAGTTCTGGGTACCTCGTATAAGCCCAACAAATACTAGATGACTGTATCCTACTCTAAAATATATTCTCTGATGCCCTATAAACACTCTCTACCATAATCAGTGCAATGTGGATGCAAAATAAAAATCAGAGACAGTGTTAATTCTACTAGTAGAGTTAGTCCTCTTGGCAGGGAAGTTGGTATTTTCCAGGAGCTCAGGAGAAGTATGCTCCATTCAGCTGTATGGGAATGCGTATGGGCTTCGCTGGGTGGCTCAGTATCCACGTGCCAATGCAGGAGATGCAGGAGATGTGGGTTCAATTTCCAGAATGGGAAGATTCCCTGGAGAAGGAAATGGCAACCCACTCCAGTATTTTTGCCTAGAAAATCCAGTGGAGAGAGGAGCCCGATGGGCTATAGTCCATGCTGCGTCACACACACACAAGTGCATGCTCTGTATTTGTTGGTGCCCATGTGAGGAGGGCTTCCCTGGTGGCTCAGAGGTTAAAGCGTCTGCCTGCAATGCAGGAGACCTGGGTTCGATCCCTGGGTCGGGAAGATCCCCTGGAGAAGGAAATGGCAACCCACTCCAGTATTCTTGCCTGGAGAATCCCACGGACAGAGGAGCATAGCGGGCTACAATCCCTGGGGTCGCAAAGAGTCGGACACGACTGAGCGACTTCACTTCACTTCATGTGAGGAGGTGGGTGGGAAATGTGTGTGTGTGCATGTATGTGTGTGTGTGTAGATACAGCTGCCACTCCAGGGTGTAGGTACACATGAAGTCCTCAAAGATGGAAATGAACAGCCCTGCTCTGGGGAAAGGGAATATTTAGACCCAGTCTGAGTTGGAAATGAATGAGCACTTTAACCCAGCTGCTAGAATAATCTTCTGAAGCATGTCTTCTTCTCCGCCCTCCCTACCACATCATCATTTCCCTGGTCACAGACTGATATCAGGAGACCCTGACAGACCCTTGGGAACCCCAGCCAGCTTGACCCTGCCCCTGACCCTGCTGAAAATTAGGAAACAATCTTTCAATCACTCGTTCTCAGAAATCTACAGCCAGGGAGCTAAGATTAAAGTCAAGGAAAACAGGGACAACCAGGGAGCTACTGACAATCTCAACAAGCAGACTGTGCTCTGAGCTCAGATAAGTCACTGGTCGTTGGTTGAGAAGGGAGTCAGAACTTGAGACATCTCCTCCCGCCTCCTACTCTCAGGGTAAGATCTGACCTGAAAGGGAACCTCTGTCTCCATTTCTGAGTAGAAACGGAGATTTCTGATTATTCATGGTTCTTCTATGAGTTAAAATCCCTGAAGGGGTTTAGATTTTCTTTCTTTTTTTAGAAAACTATTAGTGCGGGGCTTCCCTGGTGGTACAGTGGATAAGAATCTGCCTGCCAATGCAGGGGCCACTGGTTCGATCACTGGCCCGGGAAGATCCCACCTGTCGCAGGGCAGCTAAGCCCATGCGCCACATCTGCTGAAGCCCGTGTACCCTAAAGTCTGTGGTGGTTGGTGGTTTAGTCGCTAAGTCGTGTCCAACACTTGCGATCCCATGGACTATAGCCCGCCAGGCTCCTCTGTCCGTGGGATTCTCCAGGCAAGAACACTAGAGGCTGTGTTCCGCAACAAAAGAAATCTCTGCAACGAGAAGCCTGTGTGCTAGAGTAGCTGCTTGCTGCAACTAGAGAGAGTCTGCTCATAGCAATGAAGACCCAGCGCAATGATACAAATAAACAAACAAATAATTTAAAAAACACTCTACTAGTCCTTTTCTTTATAAAATGTAGGAGAAAAGACGAGATGTCTCTAACCCTGGGCGATGGCTCTGGATCATCACAGTTGCAGTAACACCGACAAATCCTTCTTCGCTGTGCGCCCTCTTCATTTTGACTGAACAGGGTATAAATTTCCTCTTCTGTAAGGGGCACCTTTACCATTTCAATCTGAAAGACATATGCTGGGTCTAATTCAAGTGGTGAGTGGGGGAGGGGAGAACACTCTGGGACTGAGAGGGAAGCAGGTGGCAGAGAAGCAGAGGACAGCCCTCACCTCCTCTAACACCTTGCGCTTCAGGTAGTGAACGTTGACAAATGTGATGGCATTGCAGCACTGGAAGATCTTCACCCCTGGAATGTTTGTAACCTGCAAGACAAATAAATGTACACTTCAGGGCAATTTTTCAGCTCTTTTATGGAGTAAGGAAAAAAAAAATCCTTAGAACATCCTGGAGAATCTGTGTTCTTTATAAGCATCAAGAACTAACAAATTCCTCCCTCTGGTTTTCACTCCCTGCTTTCTTCTTTTCCCCTCTTATTTCTTCACACCTCTCTTTTTCTTGGCCCTCCTCCCTCTGAAGTACATTTAAATTTATCCTTAACTGGCTGCATCACTTTCCCCGCCTTTGTAAATGCATATCTGCAGTGCAGCAGAGAGGAACAAAGGAGTTTAGGTTTTTTGGGGTTTTTTTTTTGTAGAAAAACTAAGCAGCAGGCGTGGTCCATCCCATCCTTTGGGCAAAGGAGTGGGACTCATTTGGATTCTTACCTCCCGATAGTCTTGGAAGCTTCTATAAATATTGGTGTTAGGGATCTGACCCAGGAGGAGAATCTTAGTTCTGTAAGGAAATGCATTTGCCTTTATGTCACAGTTGCTTCACCTTGACATGGCCCACCTCCTATTACCCCAGACAAAATACCTGTGTGACTGAACAGTGATGATGAAGAAGGCAAAAGCTACTGCAACAACTAGTCCAATGTCCAGTCCCAGTAAAACTGCAGATAAGAATGTCACCATCCAAATGAGCTTATGGAAAAGAGGAAGGATGAGAAAGGGAGACCGTGACAACAAGCAGAATTGAGACAATCACAGGTCCTCTTCCCCAATTCACCTTTATCCTTTCTCTCCTAACACCTAGGATTTAGAGAACAAATTCCACAGCCACATGGACTGATGCTGTCACAAATGATTGGGCCCTAGGGCTGCCTAGCAATTCTTTTATGCATTCTTGGTCACATCTCTCTTTAATTTTCTTTTAAAATGTCAGTTTCCACTTGTGAAAAATTGGGGCAATAATATCCGCTTTATAGAATTTATTGAGATTAGAAATACTGTTTGGAAAGCAACCCAGAACACTGACCAAATTACTGGTTGCTATTTTAAGACCCATGATAGTCATTAGGAATCTTTAACATCCCTTTCAAGCCCCCTGTCCCACCACCTACTCCATCTCTCAGCAGGTGATCTGACTTTCATTTTCATAAAGAAGATAGGCTGAGGGGGAGGGATAAATTGGAAGGTTAGGACTGACATTTATATGCTACTGTGGATATGGGGAAAGAATTTTTTTTAAAGGAGTGGATATATGTTTATGTATAATTGATTCACTTCACTGTACACCTAAAACTAGCACAGCATTGTGAATCAACTATACCCCAATAAAAAAAATTTTTTTTTTAAAAGAAGATGGGTTGAAAATCCCTTAATTGTTTATTCCTGTTTACTGTTTGTTAGTTTTACTGTTTACTGTTAGTATCTGCACTCAACCTTCCCTTATTCTCTCCAGGGCTGTTGGAAGTGCTGTCTCCACTCCAAAGACTAGAAGCTCTAACTGTATACTGGACCACATTCCCCTCTTAACTTCTCAGGGACCTGGATCCAAAAATGATCTCTTTCCTCTTCTGGGTCCCTCTCCTCTCATTGCATCACCATCCCCTATCTTTCATTTCTTGCGATTTCCCCTATATGTCCTCTAGTTTTCTTCTCTAGAGAAAAGGGGAGCACTCCATCAGTTACCCTTCCTGGCAAGACGCCCTCTTCTCTTGTTAGGATTTGTTTCCCGTCTCCTGAAATGTAGTTCTATTAACCAGATTAAAAGTCATTCAAATATTCCATGTATGCTGAACCCTTTTTACTAGATCTGTGTGCAACTGCAGCTGCTTAATTACTTCTGTTTTATCGAACTTCATATAGTTGGAATGGGGTCTCAGTATTTCTGTGCACCCAATAACCTTGACTCCTGTTTTTTGAGCAACAGCAGAGACGCATCAGATGTTGGGTTCACATTGGTCACTTTCGCTTGTTCTCTTCCTCTCTCTGCAGGCTTTCCTTCCATCCTTCCCAACCTCCCCAGCGCATCTACACTCACACAGTCATACTGGTTCTGCTTCCACAGACTGGGAAGGGTGTAAACAACTTCAAGGTAGGGCAGGACGTTACTCAGGATAATACCAGCCACTATAGCCTGTGGGGAAAAAATAAATCCTGCTTCATTTTCCCTTCTTGGGTAAAGCTTCCAAATTTCCACAAAGGAACCACAGAGGCTTGGTCAGCCTTGCCACACAGAGGTATTCTGCACTAATATTTCATACCAATACCAGGTCTGTGCTGCAACTCACTGTCCAATCAAATAACTATTCCCCACGTTTGTGTCTGCTCACCTTTATAATTTATCAGACACACAAGACACAGCAAGGCCATGTGACTCACTTGGCCAGTGACAGCTCTCAAAACCCCCTTTTATTTTAGAGTTTTTGAATGTGGACCATTTTTATTGAATTTGTTACAATATTGCTTCTGTTTTATGCTTTGGTTTTTTATGGCTGCAAGACATGTGGAATCTTAGCTCCCTGACCAGGGATTGAACTCATACCCTGCTGGATTGGAAGGCGAAGTTTTAACCACTGGACCACAAGGGAAGTCCCCACATGCCCCTTTTAGATTCAGGTCACTGGTTACTTACACAGACAGTGAGAGGAAGACTAGCCACAAGTTAAGATCCTCTCGCCCCTTCTGTTGCTATGTTGTGACATCTGATGTAAAAGACCCACAGGGAGGCCGGCTGGCACCTCTGGCCACTTGTCCTATTCTGTGCCTATTGGACCTTGCTTTGTCTAGTTTGCGTGACATAACCTATGTGACTGATATTGCTTAGAAACCACTCTCAGATGGGATGACAAATTAGGAGAATGTCCACTCACAGAAATTCTGAAATAGTTTCAATTTGGCATGTTTTTTTTACCCCAAGCCTAATCATGATGTACTACGATTATTTCAACAGTGAGATACCACTGTTTTGGTCCATCACATTAAATTAGCAAATTTAAAACATTGAGGGCATTCCATTAAAAATGGGTATTGCCCTTGTGAAAAATAATTTGGCAATATATTAAGAAATACTAGGGCTTCCCAGGGGGGCCTTAGTGGTAAAGAACCCGCCTGTCAATGCAGGAGACTTAAAATGTGCAGATTTGATCCCTGGGTCGGGAAGATCCCCTGGAGAAGGGCATGGCAACCCACTTCAGTATTTATGCCTGGAGAAGCCCATGGACAGAGTAGGCTGGCAGGCTACAGTTCATAGAGTCGCAAAGACTTGGACATGACTGTAGCGACTGAACAAGAAATACTGATAGATAAGCTTTCATACAGAACTTTTGTTTTCCCTTAGAAATCTATCCTAAATATAGAAAAGGGCAGATGTACAAAATTGCTCATTGTTGTGTTATTTATAATTAAAAAAAACCTCAGATAACCTAATTTAAAATGATTAATAAGTGATAGTAAGAGTATCACATTATATATGAAATTAACAAGAATACCAGATTGTGAGTACAGTTAGATCACAATTACACAAAGTAAAGACTGTTTCCCTGGTGGCTCAGTGGTAAAGAATCTGCCTGCCAATGCAGGATACGTCTGTTCAATCCTTGTGGTTGGGAAGATCCCCTGGAGAAGGAAATGGCAACCCACTCCAATATTCTTGTCTGGGAAATCTCATGGACAGAGGAGCCTGGTAGGAGCACAGTTCATGGGTTGCAAAGAGTCAGACACGATTTAGTGACTAAACAACAACAGCATACCAAGTAAATACTATCTGTTTATAGAGAATAATATTGGTTAGGTATATGCCAAAATGTTAATAGTGGTTTATTTGTGATTGTGGCTTCAGGGACTGCCACCTCAGTGTGTGACCAATCTATCTAAAAAATAGATTTTTATCTATTATGAATTTCCCAAAGTTTAAGAAGCAAACATGTCTCCTTTTGTAATGGAAAGACAGTGTCTTAAATATAAGAAAATGAAGATCAATATTCATAGGGGTATAAAATCATCAGGGCCTCAAAGTAGAATCTAACATACTTTAAGAAACATTTCTCATCCTTTTCCTAGCCATCTAGCCAATTAGAACTGATCCCACTCTCGGAAGTGGCTTGGATCCAGGTTTACTCTGGTTTTCTGAGGTTACTCAGTAACCAGTTGGATGCAGCAAGTCAGTGGAGGGGGGAGGAACAAAAATGAAGTCAGCAGAAATTACTTGTTTTCCAGCTTAATCTTCTTACCAGTCAAGAATCTCCCCAAATTTCTGCAATCACTAGGGAGATGTGGTAGGAAAGAAGAAATTCAGCTTCAACTTTTACAAGACTTTTGACTTGAGATATGAAGTATGAGGGCTCCCGAAGTATCTCAGTGATAAAGAATCCACCTGCCAATGCAGGAGACACTGGAGACGTGAGTTTGATACCGGTGTCAGGAAGATTCTCTGGAGGAGGAGACGGCTGGGGTATTCTTGCCTGGGGAATTCCATGGACAGAGGAGCCTGGTGGCTACAGTTCGCGGGGTCACAAAGAGTTGGACAGGACTGAATGACTGAGCACACACACAAAGCATGACAGGAAAACAAATCTTTTTCATGAAATATACAATAAAAATTTTTACTTTTCTGAATATGAAGATAAAACATGCTCATGTGCAAAGAAGAACTGAATTTGTATATATTTTCCATCATACAAGAGATAACATTTTGGTGTAGCCTATGCATTTTTTTTCCACACAAAACTGGAACAATATTGAATACACTGTTTGTATTACATTTAAAAAATGTATATTGGGTCCCTTGCTCACTAGTTGAGATCCTTGCCAGGATGCTCTACCAATTACTCTCCCAAGAATTTTGCAACAAACTACCCACAGTCCTTCAAAGAAGGAAGGATGGGTGCTTCCTAGAGGGGTGGAATGGGAGGGGAAGCTCAACAGGGAGAGCACAAATGTATACATATGGCTGATTCACGATGTTGTGCTGCAGAAACCAACAGAATATTGTAAAGCAATTATACTCCAATAAAGACAGGAAGGAACCATTCATGGTTTAATCCTCACAGAGAGCCATGGTTATAGAAATTCAGTTATTCCACTGATCAGATTGTGTTTGCATTTTCTCACCCAGCAACATCCTAACTAGATGATGTAAAAATAACGTGCCAGAACATGGTTGGCCAAAAGCAAGGGCTGTTCTATCCCCAACATATTTATAGTAAGGAAGGGCTTACCTGCTTTTATCACTGTGCATGCATGCCTGTGTGCTTGGTCATGTGTGACTCTTTGGAACCCCACTGTAACCCACCTCTGTAAGGTGGACTGTAACCCACCTCTGTCCATGGGATTTTCGAGGCAAGAATACCGGAGTGGGTTGCAATCTCCTTCTCCAGGGGATCCTCCCAACCCAGGGATCGATCCCATATCTCCTGCATCTCCTGCCTTGGCAGGAAGACTCTTTACCACTGAACCATCTGGGAAGCCTCACTTTTATCACTACCCTGCAGTGAATTCGGACAGATTTTTATTTGAGATTTTTTTAAAAATTCTGATTCTTCAGGCTATAAAGGAAAAATATCACTGTCCAAAGTAAATTAGTGAGTGGCCCACCAAAAATAGACTCCCAAGAGTTATAGCTCCAAAGATGCTACATAAGCCTCATTCTGGAGATGACTTCTGCTAGGAATCAGAGGACAGCTTGTGTGATAAACACAAGTTTAATCCCACCCACCATGCATATATTCCATGGCTGGTTTCCAAGATCCCTGAATCACAAGAACCAAAGGCAGCAACAGCCTTAAGATGGTCCTGTTCTACTGAAACGTGATATTCACCAGGTGGAATTGTTGTTTAGTTGCTAAGTCATGTCCGACTCTTTTGTAACCCCATTGACTGTAACTTGCCAGGCTCCTCTGTCCATGGGATTTCTCAGGCAAGAATACTGGACTGGAGTGGGTTGTCATTTCCTTCTCCAGGGCATCTTCCTGACCCAGGGATTGAACCTGCGCCTCCTGCTTAGCAGGCGAATTCTTCCCCACTGAACCACCAGGGAAGTCCCAAACATGTTCAAAAGGATGGGTATAATATTTACAACTACTCCAGCTTAGGGGCTGCTCCATCAGTGGGTAAGCAAGCTGCCGCACCAGGAATAAAATCTCCTCCCCTGCTGCTCTGCTTAGTCGCTTCAGTCATGTCCAATGCTGTGCGACCCTATGGACTGCAGCCCGCCAGGTTCCTCTGTCCATGTGATGCTCCAGGCAAGAGTACTGGAGTGGGTTGCCAAGCCCTTCCTCCAGGGGATCTTCCCAAGCCAGGGATTGAACCCAGGTCTCCTGCACTGCAGGCAGATTCTTTACCATTGAGCCACCAGGGAAGCCCCACCTCCCCAGTACTATCTAAAAATGACTAAAGGGAACATGGAGGAAATTTAAAAAGAAATCACGGACACTGGGCATTGACCTATACTGTAACTTAGAACAAATTGATTATAGTCAGTAATTAATGCAACTGGCATATCTAAATGTAAAGTCATCATTCATTTCACACAAAGGGAAGAAATGGCATGTAAGTACATAGAGGCATTCTAGCTGAATACAGAATTAAAACTCAACTTTCAGTGTTGTGAACCGACCAAAAGACAGGGTGGCAGCGGTAGGGGGATTGAGTTCACATGAATACAGAACAAGGACTTATGGAAACTGTTTAGGAAAACAGATGGCATGAATGCACAATGAGTTTCCAAGCCTGTGTTGGTAATGGGCGTTCTGGCATCTGAAGTCTATTTTGATCATATTTAACTGAATCCTTACTTCTAAAAGCTTACTTTATAGCTAAAGCAATTTTTAAAAAAAGATTAATGAGGATGAGAAGAATCACAATTGTTTCTTGAGCGCTTATTATTAGCTCAAAACTGTTCTCTCTACATTATACATATTATCGTGTTTAACTCCTAGTCCTGTGGGGTGCTGAGTTACTCAGTTGTGTCCAACTCTTTGTGATCCTGTCCATGGGGATTCTCCAGGGAAGAATACTGGAGTGTCGAGGTTTGACAGAAAATAACAAAATTCTGTAAAGCAATTATCCTTCAATTAAAAAATAAATAAATAAAAGAATACTGGAGTGGGTTGCCATGCCCTCCCCCAGGGATCTTCCTAACCCACAGATCAAACCCAGGTCTCCCGCATTGCAGGTGGATTCTTTTGGTAGAGGCAGTTATTTTAAAGGAAAGGAGCCAGAAATAGCCTGGGGCAACCAATGTAGATGAGCAGAATGCAGTTCCCTTCAGAGAGGCCCCCACCAAGATGTGATCTGACTCAGGCATCCGATCAGGTCTACTTACGTTTGGCAGTTTGTAGAAAAAGCGTGCCATCTTCATCATCAGGAGCAGCATGACGCCTGCGCCTACCAGAGATGCAAACTGAGGAGACAGAGCCAGTTGGGGAGAGAGCATCAGGAATGTACTGGCCCCCGTCTGCATCTGAGGCCTTCTGCTTGGTGACAAGCGTGCCATTTTTGTTTCTGTTTTTTTTTCTTAGAAGGGGCTGAGTATGTATAACCATCTAACATAAGTGCGCTTTCGGTGAACTGACATTGTTAGCTCTTGTCAAAATGCTCAACACATACCAGTTACTCAATAAATACTTATTGACTGAATGTATGAAGGTTTCCTGAAAAGTTCCAGATGGCCTTGGATATACGAATCTTTCTTGCCATAGCTTTGTGCTGTGAATCTGAAGTCTCCTAAAATCCGGCCTTCATTTCCTCCGGACTTTAACCTTCCTTGAGTAGTTTTGAAAATCCCGGGTAAACCCATCACTGCCAGCCCTAAAATCCCAACTGTTCCACCTCGCTCTTTTGGGGTTTGCATAGCTTCCCATCTAACAGCTTCAGTGGTGCTTCATCTTAATACCATGATATTCACTTCTGATTTTTCTACTTTTGTTTCTCTCTGCCTCGATACCATTAAAAAAAAAAAGAAAGGTAACGAACATGAGTCAGGGCTGTTGACAGCAACTCTGGATCCTGTTCCAGCTGGATTGACTCCTCTGGGTTCATACTACTTGGGAAGCAGTGATTCAGATTGTCAAATACAGGTAGAAAGCATAAAAACATACTTCTCTTTATAATCTTAAGGCTCTCTGGACATAATCTTGAACTCATTGTATCCTTTGTTGATAAATTTCCATTGGATAAGTCCCTACTTAAACAGAAAAAAATAATACAAAGCAGTTGGGGGGGGGTGGGTAAAACTGCAGCCACAAATCAAAACAATAGCATATACTAGCACAAACAAGCAACTTTAAATCTAAACCATTAAATGACCATGCAGCAATGACTGCCTAATCTTTTTTCTCTTTTTTATTAGGTGTGAAAAAGACTTCCTACTGGGTTCTCTCTCACTACTCACTGCTATTTGCCATAGAAACGTGTCACTGAAAATAACTGCAATGAAATCAATGTCCTGCTTCCTTTTTCCCCCACCCCGACTGATACACAGCTATGGGACCAACCCAAGGTGGAAAAGTTGAACCCTGAGAGAAGAATGTAGGCAGAAGGATTCAGGAAAATGGATCACTGTAACTGAAACTCAGGAAGCTCTCATGGCAAACATTTTATACACTGTGGAACTGAAAAAGGTAACTGAAGCCATAAGCTCCTGAAGCCAGTGTACAACTCAGCCTGTTGCCACATTGAATTTTAGGGTCGAGCTTCAGGCGGTGTCACGCTATAGAAGTAACGGCTTTGCTTAGCACAGGAAAACATACCAGGATTTCTCCTTCCTACTACTCCTTTCCTCCAAAGTTTTTTGGATTACTTTTAAGGGAACAAAGACATACAGACACCAAAATTAGCTGTATAAAACCTAGTTTAAAATGACGATAAACCAAACACTGAAATCCCATAAATCTGGCTGCTCAGGGAGACCCGCCAATAATTGTCTGTCCCCTATGGCTGCTTCCCTGCTAGCTCAGCTGGTAAAGAATCCGCCTGCAATGCAGGAGGCCTGGGTTCGATCCTGGGTTGGGAAGATCCTCTGGAGAAGGGAAAGGCTACCCACTCCAGTATTCTGGCCTGGAGAATTCCATGGACTGCATAGTCTATGGGGTCGCAAAGAGCCAGACACGACTGAGTGACTTTCACTTTCACTTTCTTTCACTTTCATGGCTGCACACGCAGAGGAGTGGGCTTTGGGATCAGAGGGCCACCCTTGGTGGCGTTGTGCCTTAGGAGGATGCATGGTGATTCTCAGAATCCCAGACTCGGTGCATGAACGGGGCCTAGAGGCAGCAAGCATATATTAATACAACTTGACATCTCATGCATGTTTTGCTATTCTGCTTTGATTTTCCATCACTTTTTCAGGCTTTCTTGAACCAAGATTGACCCTACCTTCTTCCCCGGGACTCAAAGCAATGCAAGTTCTCATAAAGCACAGCCACTAGTGACATGAAGAGCCTCAGACAACAACTGCTCCACAAGCAGTGGACAGAACATTATCATACACTGACCAGCACACTAGGGACCTGGGGCAGAAGCTCTGTTGTCATCCAGTTTAATTCTCACAACTGAAAGGTTATCCTTATCCCCATCTTACAGATGAGGACTAGAGCCCCAGGAAGTGAAAGTAACTTTCCAAGCTCACACATCTAGGAACTACAGAGTCAGGTTTCAATCCACCTGACCAACTGACTCCAAAACCCAGGCTCTCTCCATTACCCCATCTGCTTTCCCTAAAGAGAATGCAACACATTTCCTTTTGTGATGATTTATTTCTTTTCTTTTTTAAAAATAATAACTCATTTTAAAAAGCAGTTCTGGGAGTGAAGGAAGTCAGAAGGAGAAAAACAAATGCATAAATGTGGAATCTAGAAAAATGGTATAGATGAGCCTATTTGCAGGGCAGGAATAAAGACACAGACAGAATGGACATGTACGTGGACACAGACCTGGAAGAGGAGGGTGGGGCGAATTGGGAGAGTAGGGCTGACGTGTGATATATACATACTGGGTGTAAAATAGTTAGTGGAGCCTGTTCTGTAGCACGGGGAGCTTGGCTCGATGCTTTGTGATGACCTGGGGTTGGGGAGGGGGTTGGGGATGATCCAAGAGGGAGGGGTTACGTGTATACATAAAACAGATTCATGACACTACAGCAGAAGCTAACACAACATTGTAAAGCTCCAACTTAAAAAAAAGAAGGACTAGGGTAAAGCAGTTCTGGGAGCCTGGGGACAAGGCAAGAAGGCTCATCCTTGGAAAGCAGGGAACAAGGAAAGGAACACAATCACAGAGAAGAGGGGAGCACAGGATCAGAACTGGATCAGCGAGAAGAGGGAGGACAGTTCGGCTGGCCTGCCATCACTTAAGGTTCAGGCCAGGGCTGAAGGGCTGATAGGTTTTGCTGCAACCAGTGAAGACAAGTTTCTAGACAGGGAGAAATTAAAGTGAAATCCAGACGCATTTTACACCGTGTTTATGTATGTCAGACATACATACATACACACATACGTAAGCGGCTCTTGGTGGCTGGTCATATCAAATAGATTCAGAGTCAGCCCCTAAGCTTCTCTTTCCTGCAGTCCTGGGGAGCTTTGAAAAAATGAGGGTGTTCCCAGGCAGGCTGAATTAAAAAGTCTCCAGAGGAGAAGGGTAGAGAGAAGAACCCGTGCTAGGGGATGAAGAAGGTGGAGTGAGTCCAGATCAGAAACTCAGATTGGAAGTGGGGAAGCTCAAATGTGGAGGGTCAGGGGCCAGGGGCATTCTCTGCTTGAACTGGCAATTTGCCCTGGGCAAGTTGGGGTCTTGGGGAAGAGCTTACCAGCATCCTGAGGGACATGCTTCCCTGTGAAGGGTCACTGCACCACAAAGAGAGATGCTTTTGGCAGGGGAGAACGAAGCCATAGCAGAAAACAGAATGGGAGTCACTTTGCCCAACAGGCTAAAGGCAACTCCAAAGCTGAAATGAAGCCCATCTTCCTTCCCTCCATCTATACATACTCTAAACCTCTCATGGTGATCCAGAAAGGCCCCACTTCCTCCATCGTTCTTCCTGAAGTATTTATGGCACTTTAACATTTATTGTGTTTATTCTGCACTTAATTTTACTTGCACTGTGATTGATTTTTTTCCGACCATGTGCATCTTTTCTCCCCAAATTTGTTATGCTTGTATACTAAATAAACAAAGTGTGTGGTCACAAGTTAAGGGGAACTGATGTCTGGAAAAGCTATTTCCATTTTTTCTTATCATAAAATCCTCTTATTTTGACTTCACTTGCAGAGAACATCATTGTTTTTTAACAAAACTCATCTTCCTTCTCTGATCAGACAGTAGTACAGAAGAGCTATCCCTTAAAAGGTAGTGTGTTTGGTAGAAGCTCTCTGACAAAACTCAGTCCACATAAAATCATACAGTCTTACTCTAGACCCATGCTCACACCACTACCCAATCTTCTTTTATTAGCTTTCACCTGATATTTCACCCATAAACTGCGACACTTTCTCTTTCCCCATTCGAGTTTTGTGTCCATTCTTCTGACACTTAACTTTTTTAAAGATTTTTTTAAAATGTGGTCCATTTTTAAAGTCTTTATTGAATTTGTGACACTATTGCTTCTGCTTTATGTTTTGGTTTCTTGGCCCCAAATTATGTGTGGGATTTTAGCTTCCCAACCAGAGACTGATCCCACACCCCCTGCACTGGAAGGCAAAGTCTCAACCACTGGCCCCTGACACTTTTCTTTCTGACCACAGCAATTCCTCCCCCTACTGGGCTGATGTGGCTCCAGCTTGTCTGTGGCCTCTGATTGTCTGCCTCCTGAACCCTGACTCAGTCCATGGGCTTATTCCAGGTTCAAGTCTGATAGTTCTTTGACACTTATTCAGGCTACGTAACTGAGATGGGCTACCTCTCATGTTGTACACTGTTTAACTTTTATCTGGTCAGTCTAAAGCACGTGAATATTGGACTTAGAAAATCTCATGCCAGAAAACTGGACAGAGAGCTTACCTTTAAAACTTTGCCATCATTCTTCTTTTCCTCTTCCCTTCTATACACCCGTATATTTAGTTTACTAATTCAGGATATCTGAAGAGGATCTGACCTAGACAATTTTCTCTTACACAAAGGCAGAATGAACGTAAATTCCCTAAGCTCACCTAGACAAAGACTAGAGTCTCCTGTCATGTCCTTTGAGGAGTTAGAAAAGTTTCTAGGCCTGCTGTCAGGAAGGTGAGAGTTGTCTTATTACTTTCTCTGACTAGGACTGAGAATGTATCTCCCCACAGAAAAAGATGTTAATAGATGATAGTTGGTTTACCTGAAATATTATCTTTTAGCTTTATTACATGGAAAGTAGCTTCTTGTGGGCTAATATATAGAAGCCTTTAACAGTAATATTTTTACAGAAAATTATCTTCAAATTTCTCATTGACAGACAGCTTTTAAGACAAAAGCTAAGCAAAAATTAAGCCAAGCATGAGATCCAACAAGCATAATACAAATTCCTCCCAACGAGCATAACTGTAAAACAGCAATATGGTTAAACTAATATAATCCCCTTCTGTGAATATACATATAAATAGACATAATTATCTCTGCATATTAGAGATCAAATTCTATTGCACACACCTGTTGTCTTCCCCCAGTTTTATCCTGGATAATGGTCCTGGCAACAGCACCAGTAAACACGTAAGATCTGAAAAATGAACTGACGACATTGCAAAGGCCAATGGCTATTAAATCCTGTAAAGAAATGGAAAATACTTTAGGCCCGTTATTTGTCGAGGAAGAAGGCTGACTTGAGTTTGCACTAAAGTTACACTGTTATTTCTTGTATATGAAATAAGGTTGTTTATATCACTTCAAATAACACTGAAAGATTATTGGAAAGAACTGAAGGATGGCAAATTTGATTTCTTCACTTTAGCTAAAGATCACAAGGAAAGCCCTTATCCAAAGTGAGAAAAGGAGACTTTTGCCTTATTATTCTTTCACGTGATCACTAGGATGACAGAGACACAAAGTACTATTTTGTCGCTTCCTTTTATACTATCCTAAAGTCAAAGTGGGACACCAATTGAACCTGGACCTCAGAGTGAAAGCCTGGGATCCTAACCACTCGGTACCAGCCCACACCAAGGGGCTTGTGTGATCTTAGTTCCCTGACCAGGGACTGAACCTTGGGCCACAGCAGTGAAAGCATCAAGTCCTAACCACTGAACCGCCAGGGAAGTCCCCATGTTTCCTTTTTGATTTCTAGGGAATGGGCCAAACTCAGAATGGTTAGAGACTTTTTAAAAAAAGTGACAAAGACTATTTCTGGGAGACCAACTGAATTATGTTATTAGCCTAGTTTTGACATTCCACTGTATTTCTTGTTGTGCCTTGGTATGTGGTAGACTTCTAAGGACTTGGTGGAAAGGAAGATAAAAGGAGAGGAGAGGAACCCTACCAACTTAACAACATATGCCTCCCTACCCCATATCTGTTCTAGAGTAACAACATGCATATTAATTCAGGTAGCTTCAGAGTTAAGGATGTCACACTTCTCAAAAACCTTTGTTTAATTATAGCTCAAATAGTGGTCCAAGTGACTCTCTGGTTACAGTCTTCATTTTAGCAGAAGGCTAAGGTTAGAGAACAAAAATTAAAGGGTCCGAGAAAGTAATAGAAAGGCTTGTCCTCTCACCTGGTTGGAATTGACGTTATAGTTATGGAAACTGGCAATCTTCCTGCCCAGAAATACGAGCAAAGAGGAGCTCACTAACGCTAAGGAGAACGATTCTACAAGAATTTCAGTAAAATGGCTCATATCTGGCGTTACAGGAAACAGGAAGCTGGAATAAAATGGTGGAATTATTCCTAGATAGCAGGAATCATTATGGGCACCTCCCCCACTCTATTCTTATCATACCTTTGTCATCCATATCAAAAGGCCTGACACTTTTCAAACATATTTATTTACTTATTTTCGGCTGCTCCACGTTATCATTGCTGCACGTGGGCTTTCTCTAGTTGCAGCAAGCGGGAGCTACTCTCTAGTGTGGTGCATGGGCTTCTCATTGTGCGGCTTCCCTTGTTGCAGAACTCAGCTCTAGGCATAGGAGCGTTAGTGGCTGCGGCGCTCTGGCTCTAGGGCACTGGTTTGGTAGTTGTGGCCCATGGGCATAGTTGGCCTGCCACATGTGGGATCTTCCTGGACCAGGGATTGAAACGGTATCCCTTGCATTGGCAGGTGGATTTTTTTTTAACTTTTTATTTTATATTGAGGTATAGCCAATTAAGGGCTTCCCTGGTGGCTCAGTGGTAAAGAATCTGCCTGCCAAGCAAGAGACTTGGGTTGGATTTCTGGGTTGGGAAGATCCCCTGGAGTAGGAAATGGCAGCCCACTCCAGTATTCTTGTCTGGGAAATCCCATGGACAGAGGAGCCTGGCAGGCTACAGCCCATGGGATGGCAAAGAGTCGGACTGGACTGAGCAACTAAACGACAGCAAATAGCCAGCTAAGAATGTTGTTATAGTTTCAGCTGGACAGCGATGGGACTCAGCCATACAAGGATTCCCTTCTCCCTCAAGGATTCCCAGGTGGCTCAGTGGTAACAAATCCGCCTACCAAGGCAGGAGATGAGGATTCGATCCCTGGGTTGGGAAGATCCCCTGGAATAGGAAATGACAACCCACTCCAGTATTCTTGCCTGGGAAATCCCCCGGACAGAGGAGCCTGATGGGCTACAGTCCATGGGGTCGCAGAGTTGGACATGACTGAGTGCTCACGCACTTCTCCCCCAAACTGCCCTCCCATCCAGGCTGGCAGGCAGATTCTTAACTGGTGGACCACCAGGGAAGTCCCAGGCCTGACCTTTTTTCAAAAAATTAAGAGTTAAGAAAAGAAACTGAGGCAGCAGCTTGCCAAAACTACCAGTAAATCAAGCCAAGTTACAAAAGCCATTAAGAGAACATGATGTGCTTATCTAGTAGTTTGAGGTTTCTGCTAAGAGCCAGTGGCAACAAATAGAGCAGGCAAAACTACAAAATTTGATGAAAAATGGCTTATTTACACTATTTGAGATCATACCAGTGGGTAAGCAATAGGCAGATATCGTATCTAAGATGGTTTAGAGCTAAAACCTCAATGTATTCCCTTCTAGTTGGACTCAAATCATTCCAATTATAATTTTAGTCACTGTCCTTTATAAAAATTGTTCTGGTTCTTATCCACATCTTTTTTTATCCAGTTTTTTAAAAACTGGGTAAAATCCACATAACATGAAATTTACCATTTTACCCACTTTAAAATGTACAGTTCAGTGGTTTTTAAATACATTCATAATATGCAACCATTACCACCATCTACTCCATAACTCTGTCATCTTGTAAAACTGAAACTCTATACTTATTAATCAATAACTCTCCATTTCCCCCCTCCCTCCAGCCCTGACAAAAAACATCTGACTTTTCTGTCTTTATGATTTTGACTTCTAAGTACCTCAGATAAGTGGGATCAAATAGTAATTGTCATTTTGTGATTGGCTTGTTTCACTTAGAATAATGCCCTTGAGGTTCATCAATGTTGTAGTTAATGACAGAATTTTCTTCCTTTTCAAGGCTCAATAATATTCTATTGTATGGATATAACACATTCTGTTTATTCATTCATCCATTGATGGACACTTATTGTTTCTTCCACATTTCAACCATTGTGAGTAGCGCTGTTATGAATATAGGTGCAAAAATATCTCTTCAAGATACTGTTTTTGGGGGGAGTATAATTTGGGGGAAGGATATTTCCAGAAGTAGAACTGCTTGGTCATATGGCAATTCTATTTTTAATTTTTTGAGGAATCAGCATACTACTTTCCACAGTGGCTGTACATTTTATATTCCTACTAACGGTGCACACGGGTTCCATTTTCTCCACATCCTCATCAAATACTTGTTATTTTCTGTCTTTTTTAAAATAGTAGCCATCCTAATGAATATGAGGTGGTATCTCACTGTAGTTTTGATTTGCATTCCCCAAATGATTAGTGATGTTGAGCATCTTATGTGCTCATTGGCCATTTGTATATTATCCTTGGAAAAATGTGTATTCAAATTCTTTCCCCACTTTTTGAGTCAGGTTGTTTGTTTTCCATTGTGTTTTAGGAGTTCTCTATGTATTTTGGATATTAATTCCTTATCATACATAATTTGCAAACATTTTCTCCTATTTGGTGAGTTGTCTTTTTTCTCCATTGATAGTGTCTCTTGATACACAAGAGATTTTAATTTTCATGAATTTAATGAAATTCATGAAGTTTAATTTCATGCCCAAGTCTGTGTCAGTAAACCTTAAATATTTATTATGATAACATTAATAGTACAAACCTACTGCTTTTTCCTTTCTGGAGGTCTCTGTACATTCAGTTCTTTGTTAGCAACTTAGTTAAAGAGGGACATGGATGCTAACATAAATTATTCAATTTTCCTAATCTCTAGCAACCTTGGATAGATAAGCAATAAAGAGAGGTTAAAAGTGATACCTAAAATTACATTTCTGAAATGCTTTTTCTCTATCCGTACATTTGAAACTTATGATAAAATATAAGCAGAGGTTAACTGTGTGGTTTTGAAGTCATTAATACCAGCAGCAATGTTGAGTAAGTATAATAGAGGGGTTATTATACTAGATTTTGGAATTAAATAGAAATGGGTTCAGAAAGTAGCTCTGATGCTGACCAGCTATGTGAGCGTAGATGAGTTATTTAAACTTGGTAACTCTTAGTTTCCTCAGCCAAAAAAAGAATATCTTGTAGTAATACTACCAGGAACAAACAAAATAAAATAATTATGTAAAGCATCAATCTCATTGTTGCCCTTGTCATTTGTTCCCAGAGGGCAGAGACTTATTTACCATAGCATTTCCTGGTACCTAGCTTGTCTGCTCAGTTTTTAAAAATTGAGCAATATTTTAAATGTATTTAATCATCACCAGATTTCACTGAGAAGTGGTAGTATATGAGATTATCTGGCTGCATCAAAGTAGCCTCTGTTCTGTATGCTGAAAGTTAACCAGTATCACCGACTCGTTGCTATATTCTCTGGTGAAGAGCATGAGGAAGTGAACAATGCTCCTCAAAAACCTTCTCATGAGCCAAGAAACTGTGTTATGTTGCCTTTCTTAGCTGAAATGATTCATCTGGTCAAGGTTAAAGAATTAATTCCCTAACAGAAGCAAGAGTGAGGCCCCACAGTCACTGGTAGGAACCATAATGTAAATTAATTGCAGGTCCTTAAGAACTCTGTAATGCCAGACTACTTGGAGAAGGCTTTCCACTGAGAGTGATAAAGTGATGTAGCGCCAGGACACTGGATCAGTCTAAGCAGGTGAAGACAGAAAGGATGCTGAAGACTGAACCCCAGGAGAGAGGCTTGGAAAACAGAGGTATGTCTTGTCCCATCCCTGAGGGTTAATCAGATAGGTTTGGAAGTTGAGAAGGTTCATAATGTGCTGTGAGAAAAATACAGGAGTCTCCCTGGTTTTTGAGTTTACTTAGCTTAGGTGATTGGCACAACTATGGGGAGAGAGTCAAAGGCTGACCAGAGAAGAAACACAGGCTTGTCTCAGCCATTGTCCCTTAGGACCTCCGTTCTAAAATGAACTGGAGTCCATGACCCAAATTTGCCTGTGGCCAGAGACAGGCCGATAGCCTGTTAGCCTATATATATATATATTTTTTTTTTTTTCCCCATAGAAACTAATTAAGTAGACTTGGAGACAGCATGGGGAGCACTCACACCCTGTGACTATTGCAGAGCCCAACAGGAAGAAGAAACACTCCCTGCCCGCAAAGGACTCAGCTAATGAGAAGCCCTAGACTGTTTACCACGGCAAACCCTCCCTCCCCAGTTTTATCCTTCCCTCTATAAACACTTCTTCCCCTGCTGTCGGAGGACTTGCATGTGGCTTGCCATGCTCCCACTGCAATTCTCTGCTGATCTCAAGAAACCCGTCTCTGCTGGAGAAATAACTGGCATGCTATTGATTTTGGTCAACGATATAAAATCAGGCTATGTGGTCAGAGGCTAAGAGGAGGACACAGGAAGGAGAAAGTAGTCTTGAAAAGTGGAATTACCAACCTATAAGGTATCATCTCAATGATCATCAGGCTGTTTTCTGTGGCCATGTTTACCTTGCTTGAAAATGCAGCGAAGCCAAGAATCTGTAGGAGTTTAAAAAGAAAAGGCATGTGATCACCTAAATATTATGTAAAGCCAAGGTGCCCACAGTCTCTGGCAGAACAGGGCAATATATGGCAGTGCCTGTGCATGAAGGCTGGAGAAAGAGGCAGGGCCAGTTCAGTGGAGCGACAAGTGCAGAAGTCCTTCCTGACTTTTGGTTCCCTGAGCTCTTTTTAGCAACATAACCAGAATGAAAAGCAACTGCACGTTTGACATATTATTAATAACGGGAACAAATGGATGGCCTGGGCTTCTCTTTCCTCACCAACCTTAAACATCTGGACCAAGGATAAACATGGTTTCAGGTAATAACTGTACCAAGGCTTCAATTTTAAAAGTTCTAAAATCTAGGCACACTGTCTTAATATAAAATAAGCCCTCTGGGGGATTGTTGACATGTATTGATAATCATTAATAACTGTCGATAAGCTATTTTAGCACATACAAAAAAACTGCTTTAGCAAAGCAATTACTTGCTTGCTTTTTCCTTTCTGTTCATTTCCTTCTGAAATGCCAAGTCTCCCTTCCATTTCAACTAGAGTAAAAACAGACAACCTAGAAGCTTTTACACCTTATAAAGATCTCACACCAGAGCAAATGAAAGCAGAGACAAAAGAAGTCAATGCCCCAGTTTTAAAATAATAGTTATATAGTTGCTTTACCTTGTTCTCCCTACTAACACATAAATCTTTTCCCAGCGTCTACTCTAAGAGTTCAGCCAGATACTGAGCAGGACAGCAGTTGGTTTAACTGTGATGCTCTGATCAGATGATGACCCCTGGGAGGCCTATAGATGAGAACGGAAGGAAGATCTGAACCAACAGAGAAGCCCTGTGATCTTTAGAGAGCTCAGGAGCAAGAAGTGTGGCAAGTGGCCAGGAAACTCTTTTATTCCCAGTGTAAAGGTTACTCTTGCTCATAAAGGAGAAGAGAGAAAATATGAAAAGCTTAGAACCAGAAATAAATCACCCAAAGACAACTACCAGTGATGCTGTTTTTGGTGTTAGCTATACAGCTTAAATATACACATATACATTAATCATGAACATACAGTATTTACAATTTCTCATATCTGTGGAACTCTTGAGTTGTCAGGTTTTTTGTTTTTTTTTTTTTTAACCTGGATCTCAAATATTGCCTTGAAATTTTCCCTTAATATTTGAGACTACCATCTGAAGGACAGATTGCTGGGTATGTACAGTTTCCTCCAGCACATCTGAACCGTTTCTGAGGGGGTGCTGTGAGCTTTTCACCACCTACACCACAGCAGCTCTCACCCTCTGTCCCATACTTTCCTCATTTCCGGGGGAAACATGGAGGTATTGTCTTTTTCCAATTTTAAATCCCTGCTATGTAGCAGAAAATGTTCCCTATCACTTGACTTGACATGTGTATAAGTAATGTTGCTGTTTAGTGGCTAAGTTGTGTCCGACTCTTTTGCGACCCCACGGTCTGTAGCCCACCAGGCTCCTCTGTCCATGGGATTTCCCAGGCAAGAATACTGGAGAGGGCTGCCATTCCCTTCTCCAGGGGATCTTCCTCACCCAGGGATTGAACCCACATGTCCTGCATTGGCAGGCAGATTCTTTACCACTGAGTCATCAGGGAAGCATAGTAATGTATTGCAGGCTTCAATAACCTTCAAGTATAAATCAGGCCACAACAAAGTTTGATGCCTTAATTGCAATAATTCAAAGTCTCCACCAACATTTATGGCTGGAGCTCAGTTTGTTCCCCCACTTCACTTCATGGTGCATCCTAATTATTTATAGCATTCCCCAAAGAAACATCTTAACTGTGGCTCACAAACCAATCTGTGAGCCACAGTCAACCCACAGCATCCTCTATCCACTTGCTTCTCTCCTTTCCTAATAACCCTGGTTAATGTTAATATTAAAGCCTTTGAGGTTGCTTAAAGGACATCACTATGATCCCTGCTGCTGATGTCTCTTAAAAGAGGGTTGATTCGGGAAAATGTGGATAGACCTTAAGGGCACTATGATAGAGAGAGACAAATACTGCATGGAATCACTTATGTGTGCAATCTAAAAAAAAAGAAAAAGAAAACAGTTGGACTCAGCAACAAAGAGTAGAAAAATGGTTGCCAGGGACTGGAGGGTTTGGGCATTAAGAAAGTTGAAGAAACAGTGCAAACTTTCAGCTATAGGATGAATAAGAGCTAACGATATGACATAAAACATGGTTACTATTATTGATAACATCGTAATATATACTTAAAATTTTCTAGGAGAGAATATTCTCACCAGGAAAAAAAAAAGGATCAATATATGAGGTATGTATGTGTGTATGTATGTATGTATATTATATTATATTATATGTATGTATATTATACATACATACATTATATGTATATTGTATGTATATCAAAGCATCACGATGTACACATCAAATATCTTACAATTTTATACCTGAATAAAGCTGGAGAGAAAGAGAGACATAGAAACAGAGACAGAGAAAGTGCACTGATGCCTGTGTCACAGATGCCATCTGCTGGTCACTCCAAAGCCTCAGCTTCCTAAGACGCAGGAGCTGGCCTGGGTTCCATGAGAAGGAGAGGCTGCCCCTGACTCCACTCCCCAAACTCCGCATCACACTGTCCCTGGGTTCTAGGGCTCCACTATTTGTGTACAGGGTTTTGGAAGGTCTTTTGTAGAAGCAGTCATTCACCTTTGGCCTTTATTAACTGATAGCTTTTTAACTATTCCAGGGAAGAAAGAATGTACACCTACGAGAAGTAGACAACAGTTACGAGACAGAGCTTGGTGTCAGTTTCCAAAGCAATTCCCACGCTCTTTCAATCATGGAGAGTGTGGATCTGGGTTAGTTAGCATAGACTAGGTTATACTGTGGCAATATACAGACCACGGGATCTTAGTGCCCTAACACGTGACAGTTATTTTTTTGCACATGAGAACTCCGTTGTGGGTCAGTGTCTCTTCAGGGTAGCTTCTTTGCAAACAGTGCCTTGGAGATCCAGGCTAATTCCACCTGGAGACTCTATCATCTCAATGTATAGCCCCTACGATTACTACAGCAGGGGAAGAAAGAACACTGGGGACTTGTGTCTATTCTTGTAAGCTTTGTCCCCAAAGGCACATGGTCCTGCCTAACTACAAGGGCAGATGGAAAATATAGGGGAGTACATGGTGAACTCTAAATATCTCTGTCACAGAACTCTTCTTAAAGGGAAAATAATTTTCATGGATGCCAAAAGAGTCAGCGATCCTTGTAAGAAATGCTGACTTTAAAAACCTGAGCTTTATTTATGAAAATGGCTTTACTATTGTGAAAATGTTAAATATAACTGCACAAGATAAATTTTAAAAAGAAAATTTTTCTTTTTTCGGCCATGCCACATGGCTTGTGGGATCTTAGTTCCCCGGACCAGGGATTGAACCCGCATCATCCATGGTGAAAGTGAGGAGTCCTAATCAGCAGACTGCCAGGGAAATCCCCTAGATTTCTTAAAACAAACAAGAAATGTTATCATTTAGACAACATTTTAAAAAAATTTCTCAAAAAGAAAAAAGAGCCATATTTATCCAGTGGTGCAATGGATAATGCGTCTGACTACAGATGGATCAGAAGATTCCAAGTTCGACTCCTGGCTGGCTCACAGTGCTTATTTTGGGCTCCCCTGGTGGCTCAGGCGGTAAAGAATCTGCCTGCAATGGGGGAGACCTGGGTTTGATGCCTGGGTCGGGAAGATCCCCTGGAGAAGGGAATGGCAACCCACTCCAGTATTCTTGCATGAGAAATCCCATGGACAGAGAAGCCTGGTGGGCTACAGTCCATGGGGGCACAAAAGAGTTGGACATGACTGAGTGACTAACACAACCAACCTGATCTAAAAAAGCAAAAGGTGTCCAAAAAGCCTAGTACATATACATAAGCGCACACCTCCACCAGGAACGCCTCCTCCCTGAATCCAGCTCTGCTACTTAGTTACACGGATTCGCTTAACATCTCATCTCCCGCAGTTTCTTTACTGTAGCAGAGTGACAGTGAACGGCGGCTGAATAAGAGTGTGGTTGCTGCTATACTAAAATAGAAATGAAACCTCGACATAGAAGGACACAGAAATTCACCTGCGCACAGGTCTGTCATGTATTTGTTTGCAAGAAGGTGTGAATAACTGAAAGTACAGAAATATCAACTGTAGTTGACTTTGGGTAGTGCAGCTATAGGAATTTCTTTTCCTCCATTTTTTTCTTCTTTATTAAAAAAATGAAAATTGCTAGGATTCCTTGATAGTCCGTCCAGTGGTTGGGACTCTATACTTCCACTCCTAGGGGCCCATGTTTGACCCCTGGTTGGGGAACTAAGATCCCACAAGCTGTGTAGCAGAGCGCCCCCCCAAAATGGATAGAATGAGCCTGTATTACTATCACAAGAGGGAACAAAACCCCTATTTTTCAAATAGGATGATAAAGATGTAACAGATAAAAATCCTTTAAAAAATAAGCATGTTTAAAAAATATAAGCTAGCGTTGAAAATTAAATGTATATATCAGCTTTGTTATGAATCAGCATATGTTTTAAAAATATTATTTTTACAATTCTCCTATGAACATGTCCCTTCCTAGGTTACTTGCTTTTTGTTTTATTTTAAATGACCTGAGCCATGAGTTTGGAGTATAAAACACCTACCAATAAAAAAACCCCACTTACACCAAGTGGATGGATAGATCATCTAGACAGAAAATTAATAAGGAAATACAACCCTTAAATGACACATTAGACCAGATAGATTTAATTGATATTTACAGGACATTCCATCTGAAAGCAGCAGTATACATTTTCTTCTCAAGTGCACATAAAACATTCTCCAGGATAGACCACATTTTGGGTCACAAATCAAGCCTTGTTAATCTAAGGAAACTGTAATCGTATCAAGCATCTTCTCCTCACAACACTATGAGATTAGAAATCAATCACAGGCAAAAAAACTGTAAAGAAC